TAGAACATCCAACCCAAGACCAATTAGTAATGAATGGAGTAGCCCCTTAAGTATATAAACCAACCTTGGTGGTTTTAATTATTCGATGAGGGATACAAGCTGTCTTAATAAATTGCAATCTTTCATTCTAGTTCCATTAGACTCACGTTCGCTTCCACGTCATAAAAGAAGGATCATGAGACAAAGCATCAAGATTACTGTCACTAATTTCTGCTAGAGCTCAGGTGTTGGTTATTGTCGGGATTTCTAGGCTTATTGCAATGCTGATGCTACAATGTTTTTGGAAGCTGTTAATAAGGGTGTGTGCATTCACGTGGGTCCATGACCGGAGTAGCATTTTGGTAAATAAAAATAAAATAAAATAAAAGGGTGTGTGCATGATTTTTTGGCTGGACTTCTTATGGGATTTGAGTAGGTTCGTGCTCACTATAGAACGTGGTGGATAGACAAGTCAATTAGATCTCATTCTCACCTATCTAAGATGTCAAAGGCCTCTTCATGTGTTTGATACTAGGCTTGATTCTCCTTCTACCTTTGCTTGTTTCTAGTAGTACTTCTGCTAGTAGTTCTAATTCATCTCACTTCTCTGAAACACGCATCCATGCCAGTGCTAATAGTTTCACTTCCTTGATTGCAAGGATCAAAATTTTATTTCGGTGTATTGTTTCGTTCACTTAGAAAACGAAAATTTTTTGACGTATTTCGGAAACGTTTCGACCCGTTTCAAAAACATAATGAAAAAATACAAAATTTATAAGTTTATTTTTCCATAACATTGGTCAAAATATATCAAAATATCTTGAAAAGTTTAAATACTATGAAATATTCTGAAACAATTATAAAAATACATTGAAATATTATAAAAAAACATTATAGAATACTTCAAAATATTATAATNTATTTCGGAAACGTTTCGACCCGTTTCAAAAACATAATGAAAAAATACAAAATTTAAAGTTTATTTTTCCATAACATTGGTCAAAATATATCAAAATATCTTGAAAAGTTTAAATACCATGAAATATTCTGAAACAATTATAAAAATACATTGAAATATTATAAAAAAAACATTATAGAATACTTCAAAATATTATAATTTCGATTCCATCATTGATTTATTTCGGTCTCCTTGAAAACGGAAATGTTTCGAACGTTTCAAAACAAAATTTTGATCATTGATTTCTCTTCGGTGGTAGACTGTCCATTTGGGGGTTATTAACCACATACCCTATGATATTCAATTATATCCTTTGTAGGAATAAAGTTAAGGTGACAAATGGTTCTTTGTCGGGGGGCGGAGTCGGGAACTAATCTTTGAGGGGGCAAAGAACAAATAAAAAATTAATTGGCTAATCTAAAGATTTCTAAGTCCAAGCATGAGATATATATTTANACCACATACCCTATGATATTCAATTATATCCTTTGTAGGAATAAAGTTAAGGTGACAAATGGTTCTTTGTCGGGGGGCGGAGTCGGGAACTAATCTTTGAAGGGGCAAAGAACAAATAAAAAATTAATTGGCTAATCTAAAGATTTCTAAGTCCAAGCATGAGATATATATTTATATTTAAGATAAATAGAAAATAAAACCAGCATAAGCCATATCAAAATAAAATACAATGTTCGTTTAAATCTTAAAAATTGATTCTATACTATATTTTCAGTAATTCTTTTCAATGTATACAATCAAATATATCGTGTTGATTACATCCCACTACCTTGCCAGAAGAAAAGTTAAGGGCAGCTATATATTTGTTTGAAAAAACGTGGGGGGCAGGGTGAGGTATGTATGTGGGTCAAAGTATGTCGCATTATTCAAAACTAAAACATGTTTTAATGGACCTATGGGCCACTGATTTGCTAAAAAAAATTAAATTAAGACCACTACACAGATTTGCAAAAAATCAAGAGGATTAATTTAGTACTATATATCAAAGGATTATTTAAAGGTTAGTGGGGTCAAGTGTCCCCCGAAGGTGGTTGTACCCCTTGTTCACTGTTCTCTATCTTTGGCAAAGGTTCTATCAAATGCCCTCATCCTTAATTCTTTATTCCTCTCTTCATGTTTCCAATTTTTTTTGTTTTGTTATAAACTTCCCTCTTGTTTCTTTTCCCCGAAGCACTGGTCCTGCTAATTTTTTTCTCTTACCGGTATCTATTACGTGGTGCCTTCTTACCTTGCCATCTTTCAGCATCTTCAATCAATTCTTCCATTTAAGTCTGATCCCTCCTTGTTTGCTTGTTCACATCATTCATTCAGTATTGGTGGTTTTCCTATTACTAGGTGTCACGTGGCACAATTTGAGATCAATCTTGAATCGATGGTGAGTACTCATCTACCCAAGCACTACATCTTGGGTTCGAACAGGAATTACCTTCCCAAAATGGGGGTAAGGTTGCCAACCACTGACCTCTTCGGGGGCCAGGTACTGGCCTTCATGTGGCATTACCTACAAGCATTTGGCAAGAACAATTTATGTTATAACATTGAATTGATGCCTATATTTAATACGGGACTTTCCAAATATAAAATTATTTAATTCCCAATTACATTTCCTTTTGAATTTGTTGGATGCGATTGTTCATTGACTTTAAAGAAGTCACTGAGCAAGTCTTCGTTAAGGCAATCCATTCTTTGCTATCGTAATCTGTTTGAGATTTGTTAGACCAATTGACTTTTAAGTCATAACCTCATTAGAGAAGGTAGTTACCCCGAGATGAGGGTTAGAAATAAATTATATTATATATATATACTAGTCATAACCCGTGCCTGAAGGCACGATAGAACAAAAAATTTGAGTTCTAAAAAATCGATATTACTATATTAAATAATATTTTTTCTTTATTTCATTTGTTTGATTAAATCATTCATAATTTATTTTTATCCATTATGTTCTTCAAAATATTGACAAAATTTTCTCAAAATATGTAATTTGATAATTTTTTTAACAGATCTATACTATTGATAATATCTGAAATAAAAATTATGTTAAATTATAAATTAATCAAATATTAAATGGTTGAGCATGCGATAGAAATGAGTGATATAATGGTTTTAAGGGATGGGNAAAATTATGTTAAATTATAAATTAATCAAATATTAAATGGTTGAACATGCGATAGATATGAGTGATATAATGGTTTTAAGGGATGGGAAATATATAGGGGATAAAATTCAACTTTCTGTGTGTTTTATTAAATAGATTTGTATAGATATAAGAACATATGATAACAGAGGAATTAGAAATGAATGAGATTTTGACATTAACTTTATCAATTGTAATTTTTATTATAGAAAAATCATTTTTAACTATAAAAATTATTATGATAAAAAAATTTAAAAATTATAAAAACTTGATTATGTAACCAAATGAGTGATAATATGATGACTAATATTATAACAAAGTTATAATACAACGTTTTAAAAAAAAAATCATTGACATAATATAACGATTGAAATTACGTTTGTTGGCTGGCTAACGCATATATAATGCTAAAAAAATTGATGACATTTTAGTCTATTTACATAATAAAGAGTAATTTTAATATTTCCATCAAATATTTAGTTAAATCATTATTTTAGCTACTGATAGAGACAAAATTTATTGTTATAGGGGTTGTCATTAAATTTAGACTCAACTACATGGTGTTTAGATGAAAATTTTTCTAAGATATAACATGTAGATATAATATGTCTTCGATTTGGGTACTATATATATGTACAATAAAGATGTATGTGTGATATGAACAGTAAAGATGGAGAGCAGCTATATTATGATAGAATTTTAGGGAGACATGTGTCTTAGTTTGGAAAGAGAATCATGAAAGATGAGAGTGTGAGGGAAAATCAATATCCCTGTATAGAAAATGATCCCTTAACATAGAAAATAAAATCAGAGAAATAATGATAAGAGTTATAATATGTATTTTAGGGAGAGAGAGAGAGACAGAGTTGAGGAATGAGAGATCGCTTAATTGCCAGATTTGATTGAGTTGGAGAATTAAATTTAAGAATATTAGTTTTTAGAAACTAAAAGTTTTGAGTGGCAAAAAATTTTCAAGAGCTAATATGATACGTCGAATCAAAACGATCTAAGACATTAATAGCATGAGACAGTTTGAGATAACGCCGTCCGTTGAATTATGACTTTTTTTATTATAAAACGATCTGAGTCATTCTCTGTCTCTTGAATTCAAAATCGTTTTTCTTTATTATATAGATTTGTCTTGTCAATTAAATTTTCACTCTCCACTACTAAAAGCCAAGGAAAGTTTACCAAAGGAGCTTTGACCAACATAGTGTTGCATTGGTCAATCTCCCCATTACTGTAATGCATAAAACAACACTTATAGAGCATCAGGTTGGGACATTTAAAGGAGGGAAAAGATCCGAAACTCGTACAAGTGTTTATACTCCTCTGTTCATATGATTTTGACCTATGAATTATTGCCACATGTACCTCCCATCACAAAAATCAGGCATTTTTAGTCAGGACTGATGCAGAATACAGTATAATGAAAGTTGGGCGTTTTTTTTCTCTTGGTTGCTGCTGCTGGAGGTGATAAAATTAGTTTCCTTATTGGGGTGGAAAGCAAATCCTTTTGCATTTAACATGCTGTAGTAACTGATTACCAAAATTTAAGTGCATTGATTGCGGGAATCTGTTCTCAACTCTTGTTCATATTTAGTGCAAAATAAACTATTGTTTATTTAAACTTCTTCTTGACAATTTGCTCTGACACTTAGGCGTTTTGATTGCACGTGTCTAAAGCTGCATAAAGGTAACAACACTTGGTGAAAAAACATTAGAGGATACATGTATCTCATATCCTATTAAATGTGACCGAATCTGAAAGTTCATCATTAATGACCATGCCATTTATAAGTAGCCCTCTTGCAATATCTCCTAGTGTTTCCACCTCTATATATTACTATCTAAGGGCACCTTATACAACCCACAAGTTTCCCAAGGGGTGCCTAGTTAGTGCTCCTTACCATGGTTCGGTCGATGGTTAAGTATGAGTTGATTGCTAATGAAAATGCACGGAGGGAGACATTTCGGAAAAGGAAGGCTGGCTTACTGAAGAAGGCGAGTGAACTGAAAACTTTGTGTAACATCGATGCATGCGCCATTATTTACAATAAAGATGGTGGCCCACCAGATGTTTGGCCTTCCTCTGTTGAAGCTCACCGTTTGCTTCACAGGTTCAACAATTTGCCTATCATGGTGAAAACTAGCACCATGATGGATCAAGAAGGATTCCTTATCCGAAATCTGGAGAGGCTGAACAAAAATCTAGAGAAGGAAAAGAAGACCCGCCAGCTTGAGATGGAACAACTTTTGGCCAGATGTTTGGTTGAAAATAATGCACCTGATGTGAGCAATTCTGAGTATATGAAAGATTTCTTGTATCTCGTGGATGATAAGTTTCTGTCAATCCGTAACAAGATTTCAGTCATAAAGCATTCTGGTTTTACCCCAGATGCTGTTGGAAATAAGGCTAAGAATGAATTAGAGAGTAGCAGAGAAAAGGAGTCCTTTTGAAGATAACCATCGAGGACCTATATGGCATCAATCATGATGTGCTGATCTTTGTTATCTGTGATCTGCTGTTCCTTCTAAAATTTCACAGAAAAATGTATTCCCAGCTTCAATGATGTCAAGTTGTTTCCATTTTCCGTAATTCCCTTGATTTCTTGGTAATTTTAGTCCTTGCTTATGGGTATCTAAACTTCCTGGCAACTTTTCAAAATTGCTTTTTCAGTAGGATGTATCACATTATGGAATAATGGTTATAAAGGGTTTGTCCACTTTATTTCTAGACTTTAAGTCACCTATGTTGTGTATGAAGAGCAAGGGTCAAAATATCATTTCAAAACGTTCGAAACGTCCGAAATATTTTCGTTTTTAAGAATATCGAAACGAAACAGTGATAAAATCGAAATTATAATATTTTGAGATATTTCATAATGTTTCAAGATATATTTTAATATTTCAATACATTTACACAATTATTTCGAAATGTTTCAAGCTATTTCAAGATATTTTGATATATTTCAATCAATGTTTTAGAAAAATAATTCTTAAATTTTTTATTTTTTTCATTATGTTTTCGAAACGGATCAAAACGTTTTCAAAACACGTCGAAACGTTTCCGTTTCCTAGGTGACTGAAACAACACACCGAAACGAAATTTTGATCCTTGATGAAGAGATATATCCCAATCGAAAAATTAATTAGACCCAAGACTTGCTTTATATACTTGAGGAGTCACTCCACCAATTGCCAATTGGTTTTGCGTTGTATGTTCTAACATGGTATCAAAGCTGGACTTTAGGTAGTTGGTGGGTTAAGTCACTCATCCAATTGAATTTTTTGGTCTATTTATTTGTTAGTTTCGGTTTAGCTACAATCAATTTTTTTGTCATTTTCAGTTAAGTTTGTTAGCCCACGTGCGAGTTTTGGTCACACGTAAGAGTGGGTGTGAAAAGAGATATCATCCCACACTGAAAAATTAAATTAACCCAAGGTTGGTTTATATATGTAAGGAGCCACTCTCTGCATTAACAATTGGTTTTGGTTGGATGCTCACATGTTGTACTTCTATAACTTTTTTCCCCAAAACTTCAAAGTAAACCTTCCTCAAGTTGAATTGCTTGATACTAAGTACCTTTCCATCAACAGACCATCCAAAAAGGATAGTCTCATTCAAAGAGATTGTTTTCATGATTTGAACCCATGAAGCATAGCCCACAATGGAGCGACGTCACCTTTGCTCCAAGGCTGCCCTCAATGTACCATTTGTTAAATGTGTCCATGTTTTTACATCATTTCTTTATTATCTGATCCTAACTAATCAATAGGGCAAATCCTAGTTTATACCTTGAAAGATACATATTTTCTCACTTTGCACCCTGAAAGATTAATTGTCCCATATTACACCCTCAATATAATATACTAGTTGCAATGTGCACCTCTCATCAAATTCCGTTTCTATTTCCGTTAACTCCCAACCGCATGTGAGAAGCATGTGTTCCCCATTGGACAAAATAGTAAAACACCATCTTAGGCCCCACTGTTTGCCCTAAAAAACCAGAAGAGAAAGACTTTGTTTATGCTGTTTGATCCAAGTTCACCACCATGGCCAGGTAGCTCAATTTGCAGAGATCGAATCTTCTTGAAAACTGCTCAAAACTGCATTTGGGGGAATAGTAGAAATCCTAATAATTGCCTTTTGCACGAATTGAATGTGATGAGGACTTGGCTTTGATGATTTGAAGAAGGAGTTGGAGTGGTTTTATGGCGACCCAGTTGAAAGTACTATTGAAAAAACCCCTCTGGCCATGAGGGTTTGATCTTGAATTCTGATAATCATGGGGTTGTTTGATATTTTTGTTGTTGATAAGTATAGAATTTCTATGAGGAATTGTGATGGAAATGGTTTGGGTTTCAGAGACGATGGAACCCAAACACTAATAGAGTAAAATGCATCGACAATAGGAATTTGCATCTTGTAATTTGTTGAAAATTGGAAGAACAATAACATCTGGTAATCGATCAAAATTGATCTTGGTCTTGGTGGATAGTATTTGAACCCATTTTCTTTCTTTTTGGTTGTTAAGTTATGAATTGATGAGGTCAAATAGCAAGAGGGGTTTCAACTTTGTCTTCTGCTCTTCTTCTTCTTCTTTGTTCTTGGGTTTTCTCTATGAATCAATTACGGGGCAAAACTGAGATAGATCTAGGGCAAGTAAACAGTGGGGTCTAAGGAGGTGTTTTACCATTTTGTCCAGAGGGAGCATGTACTTCTCACATGCACGTGGGAGTTGACGGAAATAAAAATAGGATTTGACGACGGGTGCACATTGCAACAAGTATATTAGATTAAGGGTGCAATGTGAGATAATTAATCTTTTAGGGTGTAAAGTGAGAAAAGATGTATCTTTTAGGGTACAAAGTGAGATTTGCCCTAATAAATATTAAAATTTTAGATGATTTTCTTGTAGTTTGAAATAACCACTCAACTTATATCCTCGTTAATGAAGGCCAATGAAACTATTCGATGAGAAATAACTACTGAACTTATATAATTGGCTTGTCCACGTCTTTGGGCCCATAGATTGAATGTTTAAGATAAGTATGACTGTATGGCGTAAAGGACTTACTCTTTGTAGAAACAGGGTTGTTGTATCCTTTCTCAAGTTGTCCTTGAGGTACAAATCTCATTTCTTTGTTTGTTGTTGCTCACGTGCAATGCCTGTAGGAATATGATCCAAGTTCATGTAGCTGTTAGGGTTGAGGTAGAGATAGGAAGAGATGAATCGAGGTGGAATTCCATACGAGGGGGCTGATTGACTATGTATACTCATTAAGTTATACTCCCCCTCAAGCTGGAACATATGCACTAGCTCGTTACATAGCTCAGAAAATTCTTTCTACCTAAAACTTTGGTAAACATATTTCTCACTTGATTTCCAAACCTCACATGCACAATTGAAACTTGATTGTTTCCTGCACCGAAGAATATGCCCACTTCATTTCACAAGTCGTATACCCCATAGCTCTATATTTAGCTTTTGCACTTGACATGACTACAAAATTCTATTTCTTATTATTCCATGTATTTTGATTGCCGCTCATAAATACTGCCTTGCTATTAAGCGTCAGTGTAAGCAACATCACCCTAGTCAACATTTTAAAACACAATCACATTAAGAGAGCTAGATGTCTAAAAAATGATCACCCACACAACATCCCAATGGTCTGTTCTAGATTATGCGTAAACTTACTAACCACTCCAAGAGCAAACATGACTGGTACTTTCATGCGACCTGGGCCAAAACCATGGGTTGTCTAACTGCATAATCCTTGTCATTTAGGCGAAGATGCTCACATATGGTATTATAGCTTGCTAAAAGTGGAAACCAAGTTGTTAGGCGATTATTGCATAGCCTTTTTTTTTATTTTTTTGCAAATATTTGAGATATTATTGCTTACAAGCAAAATTTGCTGGCAGGTACTTACTTTAATGTAATTTGCAGGCAGATCCTTACTTGAAAGGCATAGTGATACCACTGCAGGACACTGTTCCAGATAGTGTAAAGGAAATAAATTCCAAAGTTTTGAAATTAAAGGAAGCTCTAAGCAATTTCACTAGCTTAGAAATAAAGTTGAAGGTTCTGTCTGTCTCTCTGTCTCTCTCTGCTCTCTCTCTCTCCTCCCTCTCTCCGTTATATGTTTGTGTTATGTGTATGCGTGTGGTGTTTGATTGTTCATTTTCCAGGAAAATAGTCTTCTCAACTGGACAGGTCATTGATTTCCCAATCCCTGGAAATCAGTGGACACTATCATTTTTCCATTTAGCTTTATTTCATTGGTTTTATGTCTTCATTTACCCTCTTGACCCACGAGATTCCTGCTACCGTTCCTCCTTAAATGATAGCAACTCGTTAATGTACTTATTGATTTTTTTGTTGCAATTGACTGTGCATGATTGATGGTTGTTCTGTATCTTGCCATCATTTGGTGCGACTTATGTCTTCTCACAAAATATGCATCTTGAAATCCTAGTCTTGGACAGAATCAGGTTGTTCCTCAAGAGCCAGTATAGTTTTGTTGGGTAAATGAACCAGCATGTTTGACCATGAACTGTATTATCTTATACAAACTCTTTAGATGTCTAGATTTATTGTCTTACACAGAATCTCCTTTAGTATGTGTTAGAGTTATAGCAGTCTAGTTTATTATGATTTATTAGAGTTTTTTTCCTTTTTACCTTTTTTATCCTTATTGTGACTTTTATTGGGTATATATACGGGGACTCTACATTTAGTTTGTATCCCTTTTACATATTTCAAGTTAGTATCAGAGTCAAAACCCTAGCCTCCATCTCTAACCCTAACCCTAATCTTAACCCTAGCCTTCATCACCTTCCCAGCAGCCAACCAAACCTCCAAACATCCACCCAGAACACCAAACGACAGCCTGTGTACCAGACCACTCAACCGATAGCCTCAAAACAACCACCCAGAAACAACCCACTCCACTGCTCAGCAGATCACTTCATTGACTGTCCAGCACCTTCAGCAACCAGTACCTTAACATTGCAGCCCAACCCAAAACCGAAAGCACTCGCATTCTTCATCACAGTGCTGCCATCTTTCTTTTTTCCTAGGGTTACAATATTTAGGACTATTTTAGGAGGGATCGGATCTATTTTTCCGTTGATCTGTTTTTGGTACAATAGATCACTTGTATATTTCTAGGATTTCTGGGTACTGTTATCTGATTATTTGGGAGCTTTCTGAACCTTCTTTATCTATCGTTATTGTTCTACTTAAGGTATATTATTCTCACTTATTTTATCCCTCTATTTATCTTAGAGTTGTTTCTCTATCATAGATGCCCTAGTATTGTTGTCGATATGGCTACTGCTGAGGGACTTGAGACCCTTACTGTTGAGACCTTTACCATTGAAACATCTACTATTGGTACTTTCACTTTTATGTTTGACCAATATACAGTACCTACTGGCACAGTTGCATTACCAGCAATGTTGGGCATGATCTCTTAGAAAGTTACAACACAGTTGTTGAATGGCCATAACTTCACTGAGTAGTCTCATTCATTCCAACTTTTCTTAGACCGTGTAGGGAAGCTTAGTTAGTTGAGGGGATCGCACCCTAAGCCAACTGATGACGACCCTAGATATTCTACGTGGTTCTCTGAGAACTGAGCC